TTAGAAAAATTATGTTGCTGGTCTGTTTTTGTATTGCCTTTTAAATATAACATACATTTTTGCTGAGCAGTAGCAAAACAACTTTTTTCAGGAATGTTTGTGTCTTTTCCATGTGTCATTTACTCAGTTTGGTACAAGCAGCACCGTATTAGTTGACTTTATATTATGAAGGCTTGGTGCAGTCTGAATGGAGGTACCTGCAGTGTCTCAGGATCCTCATTCTACTGCATCTGCCTGCCTAGCTAGATTGGAAGTACTTGTGAAGCTTCAAGTATGTTCAGCAAAACTTATGCAGTTGGGGACGTACAATAAAATCTCAGTAACTTGAAGTCAGTTAAATCGAAAGATCGTTTATCTTGTAGGCACTGGCAGCAGAATGGGGGGCTGGGGATGCCATTGGCCCCCCCATCTTTGGAAAGGTAGTTACTCCTCCCCCCACTTGATAGGCCTACCAGCCATTGGAGGTACATGTACACTGCAACTTCATAAGTTGTTTTCTTTTAAGTCTAATGGCTGGGACTTGCCCCACCCCAAACTTTTAAACCGTTCTGTCGCTGTTGCTTGCAGGCCGACTACTTGCCAAAAGAATAGGCTTTTATATATATTTTAAAACCCTCTGTAACTACCCACAACACTACATCAAGGATTTTTTTGAACCGATCAAAAAAAAAAAAAAACACTGCAAAATTGTTTCAGAAATGAAAAATACACGGTGAGAAGTTGGTTTGAGTCATCACACTGGAACTGCTTGTGTTGCGTGCATACTGCACTCCGCATGGCACACACCCATTGCACTCACCATTGCAATCATGCAAACCCTGTTTTTAGGCTAGCCTGATTGCTACCGCAGATCCATTCATGGACAGTCCAAATCGCTGACTCTTTTCAATAACCATGCGACCATAGAAAGTGCTGTCATTAGACAACCCAAGTGAAAAAACCCTGAAATTCTGTGGCATGTCACACTTAACACGATCTGCGAAAAGACGAAAGATCTGCCACATGGAGGTACACCATTGAAGCGGTCAATTTTTATATTAAAAGAAATCGGGATGTCTGTGCTGCCCCATTGAAGAAATTTGATTTTATATAATGGTAGAAAGAAATCTTTAGGTTACAGCATTAAAAAAAATTTTGAAATGATTATTTGTCCTAAAAAAAATAGATTGAATAAAATAACAGGAAAATAATCACTTAAAAAGTTGCCATAGCAGAGCAAAGAAAGTTAATGATTACGTATACATGTCATGTGTGTGTTTTCTAGCTTCATGACTCGGGGAATTGTATTAATAACGACATCTAGGCAACTTGAATTTTTGTTTATTCTCCGAGGTTTGAGTTGTCAGTTGTAAACGGCAACCCATGAAACAAGACTGCGCCACCTACACTTGGTACACATTGTCCGGCAGTGGCTTTTGTGATTGATTTTATCCTTCTAAGTTTGTCGTAAATGCCACCCGGTGTATAAGTCACAGAGACACATCTTTCTGCCTGAGAATCAATGTATAAGCCGCGGCTGATGTTGTGAAAATTATGGTGTATAGGTTTTGACAGCAAACTCTTTGACTTCCAGCGTGTTCAATAACTCCCCCCTCTCTTTTTCAATACTCGGATAAGCTTGATGATTTAATACTCACGTGACGTTTCCTGTTTACTCAGGACTGGCCAAAGTAACTGAGTGCCGACCCAGTTACTTTTATTCCACAATGCAGTGCTAAAATACAGTGACTTGGATGAACAATGCAAAGGAAACTTGATGCTGTTGTAACTAGTTGCATCGGTCATTGCACAAATAGGAAAATTTGCTCAAGTTATTTGACTTACGTGAAATTAAGGCCACATGCGTGTGGGTGTTTGTGTCCTGTTACTAATCAGCTTAAATTCTGAAAATTTAAGTCTGCATGATGTTTTGACCCTGAGTAGGCATCTTGCTTTCTAAAGTTGACTCTCATGGCTTTGCATGCTCGCATATCACATGATTTGGAGCCATGTTGTTTTGAAGCCATTAAACCATTGGTTCAAGGAAGGATAACACTCAGACTCTGTATATCAAGTTAGTCAGAAAACTGACTAACTTGATTTCTTGGACTTTATCTTGTCTTTGATCAGATCCGTGTCTGTCCAGCCCTTGCATGAATGGAGGTACATGCAGTTTTCAGGGTTCCAGCCTCAGTTGTGTCTGTCTGTATCCCTACACTGGAAATACCTGTGAAACTTTCAGTATGTTTACTTTGCGTAATTATGTATTATCATTAACAGACATGGCCTTTAACCACGTACTGTGGAATTCTTTTGTGAACTTTTTGAAACAAATTTCTATGGACTTTTTGTTGAGTTTTATGAAGTGATAATTTTGCTTAATAGCCTTTAACAGAGATGCAACATGTCCTCCTTCAAACATGTCCTCCTTCAGGAGCTGTAATCGTTTCTATTGAAAACCATATACTTTTTTACTGCTGTCTCGTCACTTTCTTGATGGATCCATACATCATAAAGTCCCTTTGTTATTCCAGTCCTTACATGAATGAAGATACAAGCTTTATTGGGATTCCTCATTCATTTTGAGCTGCCTGCCTCTCTGCATGTAAATGTGAAACCTTCATTTTGTGTTCACTTTGTATTGTATAATACCAAGGTCCATTCAGCCACTTGACTTTCTTCACTTTATGAAGAGCTATACAGAATAGCATTGTGCACTTAGTAAACTTATTATGCTAGGATTTTTTGCTTCCTATGGTAGCTGTGAATTGACTCCTCATCAAAACTTCCACTGTTCCATCACTTGTTTGAGAGGTCCATGCATCACTTTGAGTGTAAAAAGAAAATCGCTCTACTTGAATCCTTACATTCCTTTCCATCATCAGATCCTTGTCAGTCGAGTCCTTGCATGAATGGAGGTATATGCTCTGTTCAACATTCCTCATTCACCTGCACCTGCCTGTCTCTCTACACTGGGAGTACCTGTGACATTTAAAGAGAAAATCAGTTAAATTTGAGTTCTTAATTCGTGTTTATCATCAGATCCGTGTCTTTCCAGTCCTTGTTTGAATGGAGGGACATGCTATGTTGAGGGTTTTGGATTCAGATGCACCTGCCCACCTGGTTTCATTGGAAACACGTGTACAACTTTAGATATGTCCACTCTGTACACATTAACACATTAACATTTAATAACATCCACTTGGAATGCTGGTGTCTATTTTTGTACTAACTTAGACAGCAAAGTTGGCACGTAAACCACTCAATGGTTGATTGGTGTTTTGACAGCTGAATTCAATATGCACAAGCTTCTAGTGCAATAACTCGCCCAAATGCTACCTAACCTAAGTTTTGTCTACCACCAGATCCCTGCCTTTCCAGTCTTTGTTTGAATGGAGGTACATGCAGTGTTCTGGGGTCCATATTCAGCTGTACCTGCCCACCTGACTACACTGGAAAAACCTGTGAAGCATTTGGTATGCTAATTTTTCATTCATGCATGAACATGTAGTGCAGTAGGTAACAACAAAATTTGACATAAACTTGAAAGTCTGTAATAGCCCGGACAGTCATCATGATAGGAGGGGGGGTCTGAGGACTCTTGGTCTTTCCCCTTCCCACCAAAAAAAAGGTGAAAGACATTAAAAAAGTGAACGAAAGAAAATAAGGAGAAAGAGGAATTGACTCCCTTCCATTCTTATTAGTTTTTCACTTTACTGTTGATGCCGGCTTGTCCCATCCTGGTGATACTCATCAGAGCAGAGCCTTTCAAACCTATTTATTCAAGAATGTTAGTCTCTCCGCGCAGGATTTAACTTTTTAAATTGAAATAGTGGGGCCATTTTGGTCCATTTTCAAACCAAATGTTTTTCAGAGCCATCCAAACTTACAGTGGCAGATGTATTCAGTTCTGAAAGTCTTGGAATGAAAGAAACCAGTAAATGTGTGATAGCATTTTACATATGTACACGGACTGAAAGCCAACTGCTTTCATGTGTGGAAGATAGCCAGAATAAGCCTTCTTAGATCAGGCATGTTTTGTGGTGTCGTTTTGTCAAGAGTTCAAAAGTGCTTACATTTTTGAGAAAAAAAAAGTTGAGGGTATTTGAAGTCTCTTGTACGTGGTATCG